GGGGGCGGACCCGCTCGGGCAGCCAGGCCTCTGGGGAAGGGGGTGGGTCCGCCGTGGAGAAGTCGGTCGGGGTTTGTAACTCGAGTCCGCGCACGCAACCGGCGCAGACAGCAGCCGGCCGGTGCGGCGTGGTCACTACCTAGCAGCACTGTCGTCTCCAGCTCGAGTCTCTTCGGGTGCCCGTTCCCGCCCAGGGCCTCGCGTTTCCACCGCGCATTCTTCCTTAGGCAGCTCCTCTGCTCTGAGCAGCCAGGCATGTCCAGGGAGAGAGTCACTGTTCCTTAACCTGTTGTGAACAGCAGTGTCATCCCAGACCGAACTTCCTTTGAAGCGTCAGCGTAGGAGAGAACCGAGCAGGCGGGTGGCTTAAGAGCTCTGGGAAGCGGTGGCGTGGTCGGGTGGAGCCCGTGGGTTTAGGCGGTGCTCAGAGGAGCCCAGGGGGCGGGGAGCCCCGCTTGGCGTGTTTGTCCCGGCGCAGCCCAGGCAGGTCATGCAGGTCCCCGCTGGCCGCGTCCTCCACACCCACAGGCTCACCCGGGCTGCTGGTGCAGCTGCAGCTATGCCACAGGCAGCAGTGCCAGCTCGAGCCTCGGCCACCGTGGGAACAGGCAGGACGTCGCAGCTGAGTCGGCGAGGACTGTCCACCTCACCTCAGAGCTTGCCCAGGACCTTAGTGCTGTTTTGATTTCAAGCTGCAATGGTAAACAAGTTATCTTACCGTGGGGCGCACAGAAGGATCCAGTTTTCTTTTACTCAGAAGAGTTTCCCAGAAGACCGGTCGGGAAGCTAAGCCTTTCCCTGTGGCCTCTGAGCTGGGACACGCTTGGGCCTCCAGGTGCCTTGTCTGCTGGTAGGGTTTCTCGCTGCCATCCTGGCGGGGGGTCCTGGGGACGGGCACTTGGATGCCCTTGGTGAGGATTGAACTGTGTTTGGCCTCTCCCGGCCCAAACAGGGCTTTTCTTTCTTCTTCAGGGGCATTTGATTGAAGTTTGTTTAGGGAGCTGAAGTTCACATCAATTTTACCTGTTATCAGTTTGAAAGACGCTGAGACTTAAATGGAACTCTGCCAGGCAACCCCTGTCTGTCTGTCTGAAGGAAACAGGGTGGCAGTTGAAAGCCAGGCCTGGAGCCTGGAGAAACTGCAGGACCCAAGTCTCTCAGTGACTGAGGGCAGCCGTCCAGGGTCCTCGGACGCTGTGGCTCCAGATGCGGACAGATGGACGGCGTCTGGCCTCCGTCACCCAGGTCGGCTCCAGTAGGATCTGTGCTGGGCGGGCGGGAGTGGACGAGGACGCGAGGACGGCGCCTTGATGGATGAAAGGGCATCGTTAACAGGCCTTTAACGTTTCCCATTCATGTTTTTTTCAC